GATTCATGAATTCAGCAAAGTTGCAGGATATAAAATCAACACACAGACATCGGTTGCATTCCTATACACCAACAATGAAGCGACAGAAAGAGAAATCAAGGAATTGATCCCATTTACAGTTGCACCAAAAACCATAAAATACCTAGGAATAAATCTCACCAAAGAGGTGAAAAATCTATATACTGAAAACTACAGAAAGCTTATAAGAGAAATTGAAGAAGACACACAAAAAAAATGGAAAAAGATTCCATGCTCCTGGATAAGAAGAACAAATATTGTTAAAATGTCGGTACTACCCAAACAATCTACATATTCAATGCAATCCCTATCAAACTAACACCAGCATTCTTCACAGAGCTAGAACAAATAATCCTAAAATTTGTATGGAAACAGAAAAGACCCCGACTAGCCAAAGCAATCTTGAAAAAGAAAACCAAAGCAGGAGGCATCACAATCCCAGACTTCAAGCTATACTACAAAGCTGTACTCATTAAGACAGTATGGTACTGGCACAGGAAAAATAAATAACCATTAAAAAAAGAAGAAGAAATTCCTCATAGGCTGGCAAATAGTTAAATATTATTAACATTAAATATTTTCATGAATAGCTATTATACATTGGAATTAAATAAAATGAACATTAAAGGTGAACTTAAAACTATAATTTCCCCAGTTTCTAGTATTTCAATTAATCCTCATAACAAATTTATTGGACACATATTAATGCAAAAATGGAAAAACTGTAAAACATAAACACTTCATAATTTTCCACTTACACATTTCTTACCCTGGGATTTGATACTGATCTTAAAAGCATAATAGTTCAAATGCCCAGATACACAAAGATTTTCCTTTTGTTTTTTCCTGTAGTCTAGCTCAATGGGCTAATTTTGACATTCTGTGATTTGCTTTATTGACTTCCAAACTCAGTTATGTATAAGATGTGGCTCTGCTGAATTAAAAAATGATACCCTAATTAATACCTTATTCATCTAGTAGTTTCTATATTGGTATTTCTATATTGGTAGTAGCGTGTGCCTTACAGTCAATGAGTGATTTCTAGCAAACAGTCTTTTACAGTAGTTAGACCTGTGCTCTGAGCCCTGAATAAGGTCTCTATTTTATTGATTAGATTTGATGCTTCAAGATAGTTTTGACATCTGAAATTGCTACTTTGGAATATATCCAGTTAACATCCTTAAAATTATAATCATTAGAGCTCAAATTATTCTTTTTTAAAAAATTTTTTTGGTAATGTTTTTATTTATTTTTGAAGGAGAGAGACAGAGCATGAGTGGGGGAGGAGCAGAGAGAGAGGGAGACAGAGAATCTGAAGCAGGCTCCAGGCTCTGAGCCGTCCACACAGAGCCCGATGCAGGGCTCGAACCCACAAACTGTGAGATCATGACCCGAGCCGAAGCCGGAAGCTCAACCGACTGAGCCACCCAGGCACCCCGAGCTCACATTATTCTAAGGAATATTTCTACCTTTTTCTTTTAACTCATCAAGCTATTTGGTACACCAGAGAAAATTTGCATAATAAGAACGAAGGCTAATGTTTCAAATGTCAATATTTTAATATTAGTGTACTTAATATGTTTTAGGAAAAGATCATCAACTAATAACAGTTGTGTATTAAGACTTCTATGTTATAATACAAATGTACTATAAACAACAGGAGATAATTTTCCATACAGTAAAACTTGAATATTAAAGCATTTCTATAGGATTGTATAGTTTTAGAAAACTATGGGAGTTTTTAGAGTTTCTGTCCCTAGGTGGGGTAGCATTTTCTATTGAGGGCCATCAAATCACCTAAAGAAAATTATTGGGTATAAAATATACAGAACATTAGACCTTAAAAAATAAAAACCAGAAATATAAAACTGTATACAATAGCCCTGTGTTTCACTTTTGACTTTTAAAGTTTATTAAATTAAACTTTCTTTTTTTCCTCATCTCTAACAAAAGAGGATTTTTGGGTTTCTTCCCCATCCCTCTTAACTTTGTATCTCTAAGTATAAAAGGTTAAATTCCACTGATACTGAGACATTGCATTCCTTAAAGCATTTCATACTTCAACACCTCTGAGTAAGGATACGTTTACAATTGATGGCAATGTTTTTTTCCTTCATGGTGATAAAGAATGGTGTGTCTTATAACCCATGATGTTGCAGATTCAATGAAATCTGATACTAGGTTGTGTGAGACATGATGGGTTTTGGAGTAAGCTAGTTAAGCATAGTTCATAGCTCTTCAATTCTTCCCTAATCCTTAAATCTTAATTTGAATAGGACTAAAACATTCTCTAGGATGCATCCCATGTGATAACCAGAATTATTATAACCCTTAATGAGACAGATTAAATTGAAACAAGTCAGTAGTTTTCTTCCCCTTTGGCCTGTGGCATAGTAAAGCAAAGATCTGCATCAGGATAGAACGGGGAAAGTTCCTTCTAGCAGCATTTCTTTAGACATGAAGAGACAGGTTACTGATTCCAGTTTTAGGCTTATATATGAAAAAAGAGAAGATACCTACCTTTTCATGACTCTGTTATGATTTATATGCAACATAAATGTACTTTTTATGTGACTAAGGAGTAAGATACTAGTTTCTCTGTATAACTTCTTTCATTTCCTATTCATAGATTTAAGAAAATGTAGAAAAGTGTTTACTCTTAAACTAGAGGAATTAAACTTTAAATTAGCATGTGTAACATTAGGGGTGCCTGTGTAGCTCAGTCGGTTAAGTGTCTGACTCTAGATTTTGGCTCAGGTCATGATCTCACGGTGTGTGAGTTTGAGCCCCACATCAGGCTCTGCACTGGCAGTGTGGAGCCTGCTTGGTATTCTATTCTCTCTCTCTCTCCCCCTCTCTCTGCCCCTGCCCAGCTAGCACTCTCTCTCTAAGTAAATAAACAAACTTAAAAAAAAAAAAGAATGTGTAACATTAACATTCTTTGGAAATTTCTTCTAGTACCACTCAAGCAATAAAACTTCAATCCTTTGTGTTTATATATATAGTGTATATGATCAGTAACTGAAAGTAATTAGTACTTGCTTAATATGGCAAAGCTCTTTCAGCTATTCCTAGAGAAGTATATTAGGAGAAAATGTTAACACCAGAGGAAATCTGTTTTAGAAAATTTTGATAGTATAATAACTCTATAAATAAAGTTTAGGAACACTCTAGGCTTTGACACTAGGTCACCATTATGGTTTTACTTCATGTGTACAGTACAGTAGTAATAGCAGTGAAGGGATGCAGTGAGTGGTAATGGGATGAGGGGATATGACAGAGTGGGAGGCTCCTTAAAGTAGACTGTCTTGGTACCAAGTTCTAACACATGGGATGGCTCAGAAGCATAAATATGACTGTGAAATAGCTAATCTCCATCATTTTGTCATAGAATATACCTACATTCCTTACCAAAGTACACTGCAAGCAAGATTCATATTACCATCACAAGAGTTAATCAATCTGTGATTCTTCACTTGGGATAGTCCCAATTCCCCCAAGTAATGATGAAGAGTTTCAATAAGAAACTTTTATTGAAGGTCATAAGGGAATAAGAAGAATTTAGTTGAAATATATTGAGTATATCCATGCATCTAACTAGATTCCCACTCTTTGGCATGCATCTGATTTAGGATGCATGAGCAGTTCCCAAACTAGCTGAATAGATTGTTAACTGTTTTTATCTCCCCATATAAATGCCACATTCCATTAACACACATAACCAAAATCTGAGTATATGAAATATATAGGCAAATTCAGTGAGACAAAAAGTAGATTAGAGGTTACCAGGGATTTGTAGGGAGAGAAGAATTGGAAGTTATTGCTTCATGGGTACAGATTTTCTATTTGGGGTAATGAAAAAGTGTGGAAATAGATAGTGGTAATGGTTGCACGGCATTGTGGATGTAATTAATTAACACTTAGGTGTACACTTAAAATGGCAAATTTTAAGTTATATGTATTTTACTACAGTAAATAAAACATTTTTGACCATGTATGGTTTATAACGTGTTCAAAAATAATAAATAAAAATTATAATTTAGAATTGTACATCCTTCACATGAAAAAGTTCATTAATTCTGTTCTTCTGATCACAAATGTGATCTAAATATCCAAAGTTGTTCCTTTTCAGAAAATAAATTTGAAAAACTTGAAATGACTGAAAAAACACCAAAAAATCAAAACAAACTTCTTACTTTAATTGGCTCAGGCTGCATCACAGGTGTAGGCATAGCGATGGCACTTGGAGCATAAACCTGGTGATATGTTGCTTGAACTCCATGATCAGAATAAGGCTGTTAACAAAAAAAGAAAAAAAAAATTATTGCCTTTCATTTATTAATTCAAAATATTTATTCAGCATTACAATGTACAGGAATTTTGCTACCTAATAGAGGAACACAAATGAAAAACACACTCTCTATCTTTAATTAATTTATAGACTGATTGGGGATAGCTGAGTAGCCAAAATTACCATAAATCCTATGAAACGTATAGGAGAAAAGAAAAGAACTACTTGATTTAGCTTAAGAAAGTCAGGGAGGTAGTCAGGAAAAGTTTTCTAGTGGAATTGATGCTTGAATTTGAAGAATTAGGGAAAGAAGATGGGAATAGTATGTACAAAGACAACTAAGAACACACCTCACTTCTCCAGGTATGCAAGAAGAAAAAGCAAATTATGTACCAGGGAGAAAATCAGGCTGGCTTCAAACTTCTTAACACCAGAGAAGAGTACACCGGAAGTTCTATAATTAAATAGTGTTGTTAAGGGTTGAATTGTGTTCCCTCAAAACTTCTGTTTTGAAGTCCTAACCTCTAGTACATCAGAGCGTGACCGTATTTGTAGACAGGATATTTATAGAGATAATCAAGTTAAATGGTCATTAAGGTGGAACCTAATCCGGTATGACTGCTATCCTCACAGAATCGAGAAATTTGGACACAGAGACACAGACAAAGATAATGTGAAGACACAGGGGAAAGATGGCCATCTACAAGTTAAGAAGAGAAGCCTGAAACAAATGCTTCCCTCATGGCCCTCAGACTGAACCAATCCTGCCAACATCTTGGTCTTCAACTTTGAGTCTCTAGAACTCTAAGACAATAAATGTCTGTTGTTTAAGCCATAATTTGTTGTACTTTGTTCTGGCAGTATGATGTAGCTATTTTATAGCTAGTGTAACTGTCTTTCAGATTTATAGACAACAACATTCAACAAACAAGTATGTAAGAAATCTCTTAAGAGAATGTAACAACCACAAGCTTTCTTTAACAATGAGTTCTTGAAGATTCAGTCAACCAGGTGATGGAGGGTAAGATGAAAAATGGAGAAATCCTAGTAGAAGTAGTGATAGTAACATTAAGATCCAATTGTGGAAATTATTGTTCCAGAATGTCATCATAATGTTATAAACATTAGTAATATAAAAAAGTAATATAATACACTCTAATTGGGAGGTGGGTGTTAATTTTCTAATCTTTCATAACACTGATTTAAAACATACCTGTACAGTTCCTGGCCCATAGATGGTAAGGTAAGTAATGATTTGGAAATGTAGTTTAAAGACACTGAACATGATATTTACAATTTGTAGTTATGAAGTATTTTGATTTACATTTTAAAGGAAGATTTTTTTTAGATTATTTTCTTCTTTAATTTTTATATGCTTTTAATTGACAGAATGTTAGTAACAATACAGATTGACAGGCAAACCAAAAGAAAGAGAAGTATTTGGTACCTTACTCTTTCAAGGAGATCAAGTCAGGGATTAGCCTAGTACAGTGAACAGCTAATTTCAGAAATGGTTCAGAACTAGTTAATGAAGAAGTCTAAGTTGGAGCATTCTTAGATATTAAAGAGGAAAAGATGTGAATAAATCAAAGAAAAAAGATGTGCAGCTTCTATGAGGGTCTTAAATATCTTTAGAAAAGAAAAAGAAATAAAATATAACGATGAGGTAGTTATAGATAATTTACTTTGAGACTAATACATACCTCTGGAACTGAGGCTTCCATCAGAGACAGTGGAGGAGGGACACATCCACCATCTTGTGCGATTTCCACCGGTTGATAAATAACCTCAGAAGGTTGCAGGTATAAGAATGGAGCAGAAGATGCAGGAGACTAAAACACAAAGCCATATTTCCAAATCAAATATGATTCCAGTTAAACCAAATAACTTACCCAACAGATGACAGAAATATTTGTTTCATAATTTGCTGAAGTTCTTTTCCAAGAATAGGATAGAAGTATCTTAACAACAAATAAGGAGTTCTTGGTTATTATAAATTCCAATTGTGTAGATGTGATCAAAGAACTTTATCACTGGTAAATACTAAAGTTTCTTAATGCTTCAGAACCTCATTTATAAATTCAGATAATAATGATATTAAGATCACTATTGAAGGTTGTAATAACAGTGTTTAAATTGGCATAAATACCTATTCTCAGCTTTGTGACTTCACATGGGAATGCAAAATGTCATTAAATAGTCTTTTTGGTGGTATACTGTTTGTATCAAAAATTAAGAAATGGAATTTTACTAAGGAGCATAGTCAAACTGAAGAAAAATTTGAAATAAAACTGGAAAAATGCTACATTTCCCCATAATATTAATAATAAAAAGTAGGGGCGCCTGGGTGGCTCAGTTGGTTAGGCGGCCGACTTTGGCTCAGGTCATGATCTCGCGGTCCGGTCCGTGAGTTCAAGCCCCGCGTTGGGCTCTGTGCTGACAGCTCAGAGCCTGGAGCCTGTTTCAGATTCTGTGTCTCCCTCGCTCTCTCTGACCCTCCCCCATTCATGCTCTGTCTCTCTCTGTCTCAAAAATAAATAAACGTTAAAAAAAAATAAAAAAAAATAATAAAAAGTAATTTTGCATGTTTATATAAGTACTCACTTTTTAACAAAATGCTTTCACTAACACGATCTCATGTGATCTTCACAAAGATCAGGTAAAGAAACTTACAAAGGTATGGTATCATTACTTCCATGTTACAAATGGGGAAGCTAAGAAATATAGTAATTAAACAAACTGCCACAGGTATCACGGTTACTAAATAGAAAAGGAACATCTCAAATCTAGTTCTCCTGACCTTAATATTCATATAGCCTTCATAAAAATACAATTAAAAAAGTTAATATTTACCTGAGGAACGCCCCACTGCCACTGTCCTGGTAGGCACTGTGCAGGGGCCTAAAATGAAAAACAGTAACAAACCCACCCACATTATAAACAGGGGTCAAAACTGGATATCTACATGCAAATAGAATGACGTTGGATCCCTACACCTCAAACTATATACAAAAATTAACTCAAGTTGGGTCAAAGATCTAAAAATGTAAGAGCTAAAACTATAAAACTCTTAGAAGAAAATATGTGTAAATCTTTGTGGGTTCGAATTAGGCAATTAAAAAAAATATATATGACATGTAGCATTCTTTCTCACCCCCTGACACTTTAAAAGCACTGGGTTGAGCTTTTCTTCCTTGACCCTAGATAAAAATTTGGACAGAGCACTTCTTGGGGTGTGGCAGATTCCAAATGCGGACTCTCTAGTTAGGTAGTTTACTGGATTCTTTGGTGATCTCCCTGATGAGAACTTCTAACTATATTTCTAGCCCTTGATTCTAGAAGTCTACTTCACACATATTCTTTCTTTATTGGGGTCATCTTAAAGTTTTTTGAAAAGGGTCTCTTCTGTGAGGTTCACATCTTGCTCTTGGGACATATAAACCTTTCTTGTTGTGAGTAAAAGTTCAACACATTCCCACTGTAGCCTTCTCTCCAGGCTCTGCCTCCAGAGACTAGTTCAGCTGCTTCTTTGGACTTTTTTAGTCCAAAGTCAGGTGCATTAAGCTTTCTTAGTCATTCTCTGATGTCCTCTTTACTTGGTTGAGAAGAAGGGGAAATGCCATAGCATTCTAACAATTCTTTTATTCAAGAAAACCTTGCTACCAATCTCCCTCAGCAATCTCAGCTTCCCCTCATTGTGTTCAAGGTGGACAATAAGCTAAGGGTCCTCAAACTGGTTTCACAATATTTGGCTGGTCGTGTTAAAAGCTGCGGTACCTAATGTTTTGTCTTTGAGGCTTCTGCTAAACTTTTGAGGCAGCTTAGAAAAAGTGATACCACATATGTATTTTAAATATATGCCATTAAGTTATTTTCATCTTTAGTAAATGAAGGAAATACTTTAGAGTTTTTATATTTAGCATGCTAATAGAATTGATAACTTTATTTAAAAATAAGCAATATAGCATAATAATATAATATACACTAGAGTGCCTGGGTGGCTCAACTGGTTAAGTGCCAGACTTCAGCTCAAGTCATGACCTCACAGTTTGTGGGTTCGAGCCTCACATCAGGGTCTGTGCTGACAGCTCAAAGCCTGGAGCCTGCTTTGGATTCTGGGTCTCCCTCTCTTTCTGCCCCTCCCCTGCTTGCACTCTGTCTCTGTCTCTGTCTCAAAAATAAACATTAAAAAAAATATAATATACATTAACATATGATAATATAACCAATTTAAATAAATTTGAATTTTAAATTCTATCTAAAATAACCCTCCCTCCCAAAACTGAGTCTAATACTAAAAAGAATTCCAGTAAACTTAACACTTGATGTGGGTGTATTTTAAAAGTTAAAA